TGAAATTTGATTATGATCTAATTTTTGAGGGATGTTTCTTCAAAAGAAAGTTTTGGAAAACACGGCTTATTTCGATTTTTGACGTTTTAATGACGCTTTAAAGCGTCACCGGTCCCGAAAGGGTTAAGGAAGATTCGAAACTGACAATCCGTACTTAAAAAATTCAATAAATCTTCCAAAAAATGCATAGCATTATAACTGCATATTTAAAGTAATGAAGGCGTAAAGCAGAATAATATGGTAAATAGTGTTGGTTCAAAATAGAGAGAAGATTTAGATGATAAATTCATTAAGTAAATCGATATACCATAGATCATAACAAATTTTTACATTTGCTTGCTTTCACATTCAACTTAATCGTATTTGAAATGTATCTACGGTTGCTGTCAATTGGGATAGACATTGATTAACTTGGCAGGAAGTCAGCTTGTCAGAAAGCAAAATGAAGTCTCGGCGCGTTGTCTTTTCTATTTCTGCTATTCAAATAAACAATTGTTCGATATTTATATTAATGCTAAAGTTTCTCAAAATATATGAGACAGTATCAATATGAATAGAAATAATATTATAAAATAACCATAAATGTTATAAACGAGAACTTGCCTAATCAGAATTAAAAAAAGAAAAAAATGAGAGTGACATGAAAAGTTTTTAATTTCATATTTAAATTATTCATTTTACATCGTCTTTTTTATTTGCTTTTCTTAACTGATAGTTTGTTGAATGAATTTCGCACTGAATCAATTGAATTAGTATGATCATTCATTATCAAGCAGTATTTTCTTTTTATGAACGTGGGAATAATTAAATATAATTTAAATTATAATTTATCTTTAGTTAGTTACGATAAATACATAAGAAAAGAAAATTGTGGTTAATGAAGAGACATGAAATTGTTTTTCATAAATACTACTATTTTATTCCACTTTGATATCGATTAGTTCATTTCAATCTTAATATATTGCCAAAGTACACATACAGATTGTTTTTTCTTCAAACTTTCTTTTTTCTCTGTTTACATTATTCTTTTTTTTAAAACTTTATTCTTAGATGTCTGCTCATGCAAGAAAAAAAGCAAAGAAAACACTTGAACAAGAAATTATTGTTCAAGATGGTAAAGTATTCATGTTACCAGATGAAACTCTATTGTACATATTTAAATATTTGAATATTAGTGAACTTATTATTGCTGGCAGGTATTAATAGAAATAATTTTATTATTTTAAATCCAATTATTATAACATTTATTTATTTTTTAGTATATGTAAAACGTGGCGTCGAATTGCCTATGATGATGAATTATGGAAACGAATCGATTTAACCTATCGTTTATTAACTGTTCGTCAATTAATGAAATTTTTAAAACGTTTTGATCGTTTAATAACCACTGATCTTCGAATTAAAGGTTTACCACAAGGTTTTTCAAAACGTAAAGTAGCTAGTCTATGTCAATGTTCAAAGAATTTATGTGATCAAATTCAAATAAGTTATACAAATTTAAAACATTTATACATGTTTAATTTTGATTTTCGTGACAGTCAAAATCGTGCACAACATATTAGTTGTTTATCAAAAAATTTAGAAAGTATTCATTTGATTCAATGTGAAATGCCAATGATATCTATACAAGGTGAATAATTGTTATATAAAAAAATACGTTTTCTTTCATCTTAAAATGTTATATCCTAGATTCTAAAATGACGATTTTAAACATCTGTTAGAGAAAATTTCCAATATCTTTGGAATAATAAGTCAAAAGTTTCACAATAGTTTATTCATTTTTATTCTATAATCGTTTTAGGTAATATTGATTTTTTAATGGTAAATAATTCGATGAATTTTTGTTTATCTCATTTACAAGTATTATCATTTGAAAATTCATCGTGTATAACATCATTATCTGTCAGTTATCTACCAAAATTATGTCCAAATCTAATAGAATTAAATTTATCAAAATGTTATCGAATTGTTCGTGGTCCTGCATTTTCAAATATGATTATGTCGTACGAACGAACATTACGTAAATTACATTTACGTCAAACAAACATTGACGATGATACTATTCATTGTATATGTCGAAAATTAAAACGTTTAATTTTTATTGATATTCGTGAATGTAAGAATGTTACAATAATGATTGTGCCAAATCTACATACATTGAATCAATTACAAACATTATTAGCTGAAAAACAATTGTTAACTGTTTATAATAAAATGAACAATGTTTCAAGATGACGAAAAATCAAACAATTGAATATTATAAAGAAACGAAATGTACCCCCCGCCCCCGTCAGATTATCTCAAAATAAATTCTTTACTCTTTTTTTGCCCTTATTGTGGCTTGTTCTGCGAATATAGATGTATAGATGTATGTATTTATTGTACAATATTTTCGATTGTACTAGTTTTTCTTTTTAGTTAGTAATTCTTTGTTATTTCTTTGTGAATATAATTAGTTGAAAATTGTAATGGAAATAAAATCAGTTTCTTTTGTGGTCCACATACTGTTGTGTTTGATTCTAAACTAGCTCGGATTGATTTTAAAATGAAGCTAACACATGCTAAAGGTTGACAGAGCTCGTTTTTTTTCAATTTTACTGTAGTTTTCAGTAAAGAGACTTTTTTTAAAAATCCTTTGATGGATCTTTGGGGTTTTCAGCTTCCGATGACTACCAACAAAAAGGCAATATTTTGAAAATCGGGCTTCGTGCAATCCCTAGCCGCATATGTGAGCTTCTTTTTGAAACCAATCCGAGCTCTGCAACATCTATCAGGATGAAAATTTTTTGGAAATACGAACAATTCCATTTTGACTACTCTTGTGACTACATTTCCTCGAAGGGCTGACGGTAAAAATAATTTTTTCATCATACTTTGATGCTGAAACTTTTCTCTGGAATCTTTGCTAAGATCTGACTAATAGTAACTCAGTAAGGTATCTATCGGAAGAGAGTTTCAAGCAGTTGTATAAGATTCTTATATGAAAGTTCTAAGTATTGCCAGTGTTTTTGTGTTTACTTATGATATTAGTTACTATATTCTTAGTACTTATACAGTGTGTCATTTTTATCTGCACATCAAGTAAATTAAGGATACGAAGAATTAAAACTGTCCAACATTCTAGTGCAAAACTGCCCGTCATTTCTCTTATTTTGACTTCGTGGGGAACAATTTTAACCATTCATCCAAAATAAACTACAGATGCAAATACAATAATTTTTTCTGTAAGATTATAGCTAGAAGACGAATTTATCTACTTTCAAATTTGTTATCAAAAATAGGGTTGCGGAAGCGACAGTGTGTTTGACGATCAATATACGTTTTTTATTTTGATCACATATGATGTATTAGATTATGCACTTCTCGGAGCTTCATCAAAATCCAAGAGATTTAATGATTTATAATCATTTCAGTTTTACATTGCAAATGCGTTTTTACTTCAGTGCCGAGAGTATCAAAACAAATCTTCTAAACGTAAACACAAATGAGAGAGTGAAAAAACTCAATAGTATGTTCCTATCTTCCGTATGATAACATTCGAGCAGATCCAAATCGTGTTTTGTTTTATCCACATCAGTTGTTTTTGTAATCAGTTGTGTAAATATGAATGTAAAGAATTTAACAAGAAAAACGATATTTTTTGTTTGTAGATATTCTAATAATCTAGCATATAATAATACTATTGATTATGACAGATAACATCTGGCTGGGTTGAACGAAAAACGGATATGTCAGGTCAAATGTAACGCGGTTCAATCGTAACAGATATTTATATCAAATATTTACAAAAACTTATATCTTTAATACTTTCACTGCTAAACTGGTATAAATTTATTTCTTTTATTTGTTTTTTGTTTATTTACATAAATATACGTACTAGATAGACATATTAATTCAGCCATATATATAAAAAATCATCAATCAAATGTGGTGTCATGTATCTGTAGACTATGATTTATCCAAAATGTTAATTACGGTACATATAATTCTTAAAAATTAATTATAGGATAAAATATAAGATACAAAAAGTACTACTATAGATTTCATAAAATGATGAACTTCACCATTTCTTGAATCAATTTTTAACGAAGATAGATATAAATCAGATGTTTCCGTCATTCGATAGAGAATACTAGGGCGACGATGTTCGTTTGTCAAAACACATTAGTTGAATAAACAAAGTGAAAATGTGAGTCTATTTCTGTTAAACTCATTTGAGGATATAAACGGATACTTTGCAAATTTTAACATATAAATGTAGTACCAAAAAGTGACTGACAAAAGTAAATAATTAGAAGAAAAAATTGTATTTTGTTGAAAAAAACACGAAAATACACAGCATCTAAAATTAGTCATTACAGCATCCAAAATCAGATTTGATACAGCTCATCATATCACTGATTCTCCTGTTATAACCAAATTGTTTCATTGATCATCATAATAAACTTGAGAATGATAGAAATCATCATTCTGTAATGTATTAGATAGATATTTTGAATTATTAAACGCCAAATTAATATGCAAATGAACAGTTCTGACACTTATTTCAAGCTTCATCGAAACAGAATAAAAATAGACAAAAACACAATTTTGAACTTATTTGTATTTTTACCTGAAAATATCTGAGATGGAATACTCGTTTTATTTCATTAAATCAATGTTAAAATATGCTGCTCTGTTAACTAACTGACACCACAGCAGAAAGCTACAAAACATTCATACAAGTTTCATGTGAGTTTCGTGAGATAAATGAAGAAAAATTTTTGACATTTAATAAATAAATTGATAATAATAACAACAAAAAAAGTGGGCAACAAATAACAAAGATGGCAAGATAAATTCTTACTCAATATTAATAGAAAATAAGTTTTCAGCAAAAACATTGTTCAAAATATGAAATCTGACTTTTCAAACACTAACAAGATAAAAAAAATATATAGAATTCATTATTTATTAATATCAGAAATTTTTAAAAATGGTTTTGGTACACGTGGCGGGAGGGGAGGAGGTGGTGTTGAAAATAACATCTTTTCTTCTGATTTTTGTCGTTCAGTACTAGTTGTTGTTGTTATTGACTGTTTTTCTCCAATAACTTCGTCATTATTCGCACACACTGAATTGTCAAATGCAAAAAATACGTTTGCGCTTGGAGATGAAGACGACGATTTTCTACTATCATCACAGCTACATTGTCGAGGTAATGTTTGAACTGAAAAAACACAAAAAAATGATGTTAAGAGAGATGAAGAAACTATTTTTCGGTCATCATTGGCCTAGATCATTTGATAAAATTTTACAATTTTTTAAATGACTTTCATGTCAAAGCGCTCTCAAAGAGAATACTATGGCTAAAAAGGGTGCTAAAATGGTGTATAAATGTTTGGTGTCTAACTATCATTCATACTTGTCAGTTCGACACTGGCACGTTTTCGATGTTGAGCTGCGGTGGATGATTTTTGATGATCGTCATCTGTACTATTGCCAATTCGATGATAACTGTTTATAGATGATGTTGAAACCATCATTAGACGTGCTACACGACTCGGTGTTCGCCATTTTTCTGGTGCACGATTATAAGGCTAGAATAAATGAAAAAAAACAAAAAGATAACATAATCAATCAGTTCTGTTGGTGTTTTATTACTACATACAAAAACTTTTAGTGGTAAATCGTGTGGTTCTATTCGTTCTTTTAATGTCATTAAATAATTCTGAAATGACGTTTCATCCGAATAATTTTTCATTGGATTCAGACGTTTGAGAGCTTTCTAAAGAAAAAAATAATAATACCGTTTATATCTTCATTTGAACATTTAGAGACATATTATCTTACTTGTATTTCGACATTTTCAATAATATCATATGGCATATTCTGATACTGTTGAATTTCTGATAAATGTTCACCAATTTGTTGAAATTTACGAAAATTAACTAAAAATAATTGAACAAATAGTTCACCAATGTTCAGTCATAACGACTGACTTACTTAATTTTTCACCATTTGATGTTAAAATGGTATTATGAGTTTCTTTCATTTGAGATATACGAGTTTGATTATTAGCTAAAATAAAGAAAATAGATCAACCAATATTTCGAACGATACATAACATATCATACAAATATTTCAAAGACAGACTCTTGTCTCAAATTATATTCCTAATATCCTTCGTCTATTGGTCAGTGCTGTGGTTACTATAGGTTTTGTACTCTTGTTTATATCAAAAGTCTTTGAATCATTACGCCATATAATCAAACATTGCACTTATAAGGTATTACATACAATTTTTTAAATTTTTCTAAATTTTTATTACTTAAAATGTTTTATCTAAATACTTATGCTATTTAATAACATTGTGGAAATATTTCACTATTGACATTTTGTCGAGTAATAGATTCTACACAAAATAAGTTAAAAACTCATGAAAAATCCTTTCACAATACAGTAAAACATTGATTTATTCGGAATATTCCAAAATTCCGAAACAATCTTTTTTCCATGTTTCATTGTGTTGTGAAAGTATTTTTTGTCATAAATTTTAAACTCATTTTGTGTAGAATATCAGTAGTGAGACTTTCTCTTTCTCATAACCAAAAAGCCAAAATTGCTCATTCAAAATTTTTTTGACAATTATAAGACAAACTAACAAAATAAAAAAGCAGTCGATTTGTACCCAGTTTTTGTTGAATGAAACGCCACTTAAAAAAGTTATATCACAAAATAGCTGATCTCTATAAAAAAGTCAATTTTTCTCACAAAATTTTATGAAACTTTTTGTAAAGATAAGATTTTAAGACGTAAAAAACTCACTTATAAATGCTCTTTCAATTTTTCTAATATTTTAAAAATGTTAATATTCTGCTTACCAATAAATGGTACCACAGGCAATGCACATTGTCGTAATTTTTCAAAGTATAATTTAAAATGTGAATCTTCTCCAAGCATATCATCAACAAATGCCACAAATTGTTTACTCTGTTTACAAATTCTCTAATATAATGAATGAAAGAGAGAAAAATTACTATTTTTAGTTTAGATGTTATTTTTTTCTACTTACATCCCATGTATGCGGTAATGATCTTTCTAAATCTGTTATGCCACCAAATATTATAGCAAATACCGCAGCAAAATTCTTTTTCTCATAAGTTCTTTGTGCTATTTGAATAAAACGTTCTGCAACGGCTACACGTTCATCCAAATTTGATGTTTCTAATATTGAACATTTACACCAAAAACCAAGCTAAAATACGGTAACAAAAAACAAAAAGTCAATTTTCGAGAGCTGTCCAAATATCGTTATCTGGATAATAACTATACATAGAGGAAATAAGGATTTAAGAAGATAACGGAAATCACGCCTAGTAGAAAGTGGTAAAATAATGTCCCGTGATTCACTCTCATGCTGCCACCTTCCCACACCCCCACACCGTCCCTTGTGTCTCTTATCTTCTTAAATCCTTATTTTCTATCCTTATATCCTTAAATCCTATTTATATAGCTATTATCTAGATAATGATAACTGGACATCTATGCAATTTTCAAAAGAAAAGAAAAACAGAGTGACCAATGTAAAAATGAATCGAGATATTTATTTACCACTTTATCCAAAAATTTCATATAGTTTTGTAAATTAGAATAATTCGGTAAACGATATAATAATTCTTGTGACGTTATAGCACGAAAATATGCTGAACATATGAACGTTATTTGATCAGCTAACTCTTTGAGATCATACTGGAACAAACAAAAAATTTTATGTACATATATATATAGACGTATTAATTATAGTAAACTTACAGCAAAAACATCCAGATCTTCGATTTGTTGATCAATATCCATTGGCTTCTGTATCTCTTTATTGGCATTTTGATGATATTCAAGAATCTAGGAGAAAGATATAAATATTAATGAATAAATTAAATATCTTTAGTAGCTCATATAAATACCTGTTTATCGACAAGTTTGATAATACTTGTTTTAAATTTATATAAACCACCAGTGTCAAGAATTTGATTTAAAAATTGTTTTAATTGTTCAAGAATATTTTCATCCGATTCAATTAGATCAATAAAATATTTATCAACCCACTGACGAATAACATTTAAAACACTAGAAAAAACCAACAATATATTGTAGATTTATTCATTATCATAACAATTAATTAATTATTATCTCTACTGACCGTAATTTAACTGGTTGTACATATTCTTTTTTAAATTTTTTTATTTGTTCATGTTGTTGTAAATAATCTTCATTATTTGATGATGTTAATGTTATTCTTGGCTCTGGTATATTGTATCTATCAATGAGTAAATCTAATAATTGTTTTGGTGTACAAAATGCTTTATATGTCATTAGAAATGATTTAACAAATCGAGGATGTAATAATTGATGATGTGTTAAATATTCAATTAATTTTTCTTGGGTAGCACCACGAATTGTAAACGATGTTGGATCAGTTGACGAGGGAGTATATTCAATTAAAATATTTGACGGTGAATCAGGCACAATAAATCTTATATTAAAAAGAAAATATAAACAATACATTTTCATATAGATAAATATTGTGTTATACGTAGGCCCGTGAACGGCTTTTCAGTTTCCATTCCTGAACTAAGAACGGTTCAGCAGGTCACGTCTCTAAAAACGAGGAACGGTTCACCAGTTCCAGTTTCTGCGAATGGGAACTACAGTTCTTTTTGAACTGGGAACTGTTCAGTGATTTGTTGATATATTATGTATTTCATTTTATAAACATAAGATTTTGAAAGGGTGAGTAGAGAAAAGAGATATGCTCAAAGAGACACCCAGATTGGGTGGGTGATAGACTTTACTGATTGAATTTAGTTTGTTCCTTCTTAAGATCTTGATCTACCAGTTAGCAATACCAGCTACAAGTGTAGCTAGCGAAAGTACATTTTTGCAAGTTAATAATTTTACACGGAAAAATCGACTATCAGCAACAACAAAGAATGTCTATGTTTTTGAAAGACAAAGTATGAATGTTGGCAGTTTTTATTATTTTGATTATTAGTGTCTCTGTAAAATTTTGCTCGGAAACAAGTACGTAGAGAAACGACATCAAATAAATCGTTGCATTCATATTGAATCGTAAAATGTACTAACATGCTAAAGGAGATAGAACGCTAACAGATTAGAAAAAGAAGGTCAAGTATATCATACTGTTTCCAGCTTAGAAGAACTGTAGTTCTCGTTTGCAGAAACTGGAACTGGTGAACCGTTCCTAGTTCAGAAACGAGAACAGAAAAAACGTTCTCGTTCAAAGAACGGGAACTGTGAACTGTCACAGGCCTAGTTATATGTCATCACTATTTACTTGTAGGATGGATCTGGTTTTAATAATACTTGTTGAGCATATTCATTTACTCTTATATTGTACAATTCACGTTGTAAAATACTAGAACACAAAATTATTAGATTATGAATTTATGATCTTTATATCAATCATTGTTATTACCTTTTATTTCTTATATACAATAGTAAACACATCCATCGTGATTTTTCTTGATCTGATCGAGCAGCTAATAAATATGAACGTTCTTGACTACGTATTTCAAACAAATGATGATGATCTATATAAATATGAATATAGTTATACATAGAGAATAAATTTAATAATAAATAAATTTATACCAGCTAAATCTGTTCGATCAATAATATCAAATTTTCTTAACCATATTTTTTCTTTTAATTTCCATTTATCACCCGAATTTGTACGTTTACATAAACATAACATTGTGGAAAATAATAATGCTCGTCGTTCTCTAGCACCATTTGCTTGTGTCTCAATTTTAATCTGTTTTAAATCACTATCTTTTAAATAATTTTGATGACATGAATCACGTATATCCCAATTTTCAATAGAATTTTTCCAATTTAATTTTAAATTATCACCAGAATCAGATAAAAATTTTGTTGGCATTGTAAATGAATGTATACTTAATTCCCTAAAAATTACAAAAATTATTAGTAATTTATGTCATTTGATAGTTTATATTCTCTTTTCATTCTAATCTATTGATAAAATCAAAAAAAAAAAAAATTGAACAAAAATCTTTCGTATAATTTCATTGGACTATTCTAATTTAGAATATGCCTTAGCTATCGTGTAGAACATTAAAATTAATTTATCTTGCAACCATAATATGCTCTTACATTTTCATATAATTTTGTTTTTTCCCATTATTTCTTCTTAAAACACTTAATATATCTATTAGATAAGCCGCTTCTTTTTCATTACAATTGGCCATTTTCTATATAAAATATGAAAAAAAATGATAAAATCCATTTGAAATACAATAATGAACAATTATTAGTACACACTTCTAAACATGTTATATATCGTTGAAAATGATGAATAGGTATTTGTAATAGTTCAGGTAATAAATATCGACAAGTTTCTTTGAATTGATCAGATTTTTTCTAGAATAAAAAAATCGTATTCATAATATTTCAATAAGAATCGTCAAAAATGTCAAAATGTTATTATATACATTCGATAGAAAACTAACTTCTAAATAATTGTTTACATTCTCATCATCCAGTAATTTTTTAAGATACTCTTGATGATTTGTTGATAATACTGTTTGAGTATATTTTGAATAACATTCAAATTCGTTACCCTAAAAATTGAAAATATAGTTGTAAACAATTAATTGATATGTTTTATTTGATATTTTACCTCAATAAAATTTTGAAATGGTTCATAGAGTGATATATTAGCATCATCATCTTTCATTTCTTTGGCATCTTCGAGATCGGATAGTAGACGACTTGTCAATTCATATATATCATCCAAACATCCAAATACAGAATCAATAAGCTATAAAAAAATAAAATAAAAAATTTAATTTTTATTTTACTAAATATTCATATTTTCCTATGTGACTAACTTCATCATCATCATCGTCATCATTATCACCATTAAAAGATTTTCTAATTGGATTTCGAAATAGTTTGATTAACATTTCAATATCATCTTTATATTGTGTTTCTGTTACAATAAAATGTCGAACAAGTTCACTATATGAATTATATTCTCTACCACCATCATTGTGTTCAATGGGTGAGTCTGTTATTGAATTCGATGGCGAGGATGTTGTAGGATCCAAACGAACAATATCAACAAATATCTACACATATTATCATTAATTTTATTAAATTTATAAAGAAAAAAAATAATAAAGAAAAATACCTACACACCGAATCAGCATTCATAACAATCGAAATATCTTCACCACTTATTTCACTTTTCATTAAACGATTAACATAATTGTGAGCAAGCTAGAAGATGAATAATAATATTTTATCAATTAATAAGAAATTTTATATACTATACACATACTTTTAATAAATCTTTTGTAAAATATTCTAAAGCTGTTGTCATATAACTGATATCCATTTCAAATAAACCAAATTCCTAATAAAGTAAACAAACAATATTTCTTGATGCTATTGATTTTTAATTCAAACAAACAATTTATGTCAGACTCGAGTAAATGTACTTGAGACCAATTACTTACAAATTTTCAAAAAAACCTTCCTAGTGAATGTACATTAGATCAAGTACTTAGTTACTTCAAATTTTCTAAAGTACTTGGTTAAGCAAACAAGTCAAACATTTTTTAGATTTAATAGGTGTCACGTACTTAGAAGAACATCAGATACTTGCATATCTTTTGCAAGTACTTACTAAGTTACTTGCCAAATACTTGATGAAGTACTTATCGGGTACTTATATTTGTTAAATTATTTATCTCTAGTGAATGTACTTTTGTACAAGTATTCCGACAAGTACTTGTGGAAGTAATGTCGAGAGTATCTGGAGTTTTTTGCAAATAAAAAAGGTACCTATTAAGTAATTTAACAAGTATAAGTACTAGATAAGTACTTCATCAAGTATTTGACAAGTAACTTAGTAAGTACTTGCAAAATATATGCAAGTATCCAAAGTTCTTCTCTATCCGAAGGCACCTATTAAATCTAAAAGTGCTTGACACGTGACACGTGTTTAATCAAGTACTTGATCTTACGTACATTCACTAGAGTAGTCAAATACGTGAGAAGTATTTGTAAAATGAGTACTTTCTTAAATACTTATAAAACTTCATAAGTATCTTAAGATATGGCAGGTACTGGTATTACTTTGTGGCAGTACTTCATGAAGTGTTTGTCAAGCTAATCAAGTACTGGTATTTCTGAAACTTATTTGGCAAGTGTTTTGGACATTACTGGCCTATATTCACATGGAAAACATCTGATTTAGATCCAAGTTCAAATCCTTTTTTCCTTGAAAGATATGAATGATCGTTTTTACTTAATCCGAAAACGAAAGCATCCTTCAAATAGCCAAAACTGATAAAGATAAGTTCAAATTTTTTATCAGCAAAACAAAAGTCTTTTTATTACAGTAAAACTTGACATGTAAGATATATTATATTTAGACTAAACCATTTGTTGCTAATTATTGAAAGGTTTAACTTTTTAAATAATCATTTACCTTTTGAATAAGAATTTGTAGTTGATCAACTGGAAATGTTCGTTTTCTTGGATTATTTTCTCTACTTAATGCATACTGAGCTTCTGGATATATTACATATAACCTTTAGAAAAATAAAGAAAAGAAAAATGTTAATGTCACAATATCGAAATCATTTATCAACGAAGAAAGAACTAGGAAAATCGCAAAACACATATTTTTTGTTCTTTTGTTTCTTTGTATTTAACATGCACAGATTTCTGATTCTAGGAAAACAATTAACAAACAATATAAAAAATATGGTCAAAAAATATTCTAACTTGTGGTATGTCAAACAAAATTAATTTTAACACTATTATGAGAATAAGATGTGAGTTCGATTTTCAATGAAATGCAACATCAAGGGAACTAACACACTTTATAGTTAAAAACAACAGCTTAAAACATATACTTCTTATGAAAATTTATAAGTAGTCTACTTTAAATCTCATTTTTTTGTTGATTTAGTAATCTGATCAGATTGATTTATTGGACAAAGAAAAAAAAAAAAAAAAGTCATGACGAATTAGATAGAAGTTTGTAAACATCCTACTTACTTGTCTTATAAAAAATAACATTTCAAGGCATTTTGTTGAAGAGAGTAACATGTTTAAAATATGGACGTCATTTGCACAACATATACACGCAGACAAAACATAATCATTTGTTTTTGATGGAAAACACGTCATTGTGTGAAAGATAGATTAGTAGTACAACATCGTTTGAAAAATAGAAAAAGAATAGAATAACAGAACCATGTTGTATACAAAAAAGATCGGCAGCAGTTCTTTTCCTTTCTTTTATATTTAGTTCTCTTTTATATAATCACTGATCACATAGATACAGGCCTATATTTCAAGTTTTTTAAATATATATCTATATCTATATATCGATATTGTATCATAAAACAGAAAAAAAGAAAAAAAACGAGTCTATATTCTCGACCAAAAATTCTGTTTATCATCATCTAACATATATATATATATATATACGACATTTAAGATAAGTATTTAGTAATTTTATTTGACATTCTGGTTTTTTACGTGTCACATCTATCATATCATATTCGTTGACCTTTTCTCTTCCGCACTATAATCATTATTAATCGATTCTAATAAAGAGAATAGTTATCGCTTGATTTAAAAACTCATTTAGAAGATATACAGTACAATAGAACAAATTGATTTTTTTCCAATAGCCAAAATTCATACCACAAAAAAAAAAAGAAGAAAATAAAAATTAGTACTAGTAGAGTAAGATATAATTAATCTAGTTCGTTATTAAAACAAATGTCAAACTAGTTTTAGATTCGTAGATGATAATGATAATAATCATAGAGTATACATCGTTCACAATAATCTATTATTTTCTATACTTTGACGTACTTATATTTTTTTAAAGAGAAAGACATAACAAGACAAAACAAACTAGATTTTATCTTAATCATCTAAAAAACTGTCAGTCGTTGTTCGAACCACTGACATTTGACAGTTTACAATGTAATGTTTCTCGAAATCAACACAATTGGATAGCTTTTATAGTTCTCATCGAAGGGAAGAGTGCAGATAGTGAGACTAAGTGGAAAGAGAACAACTTAGAAAGCTGGAAATCTATGAGATAAAAAACTTAGTCTAATAGAATATTCTAATTACAAGAAAATAAGTTTGATCAACTGCAATTATAATGCATAGAAGTAACAAATTTGCGAAAGAATACATGTACAAAGAATCACTCAAATATCAGTTAACCATGATTTTTCGCTAGTTTCTAGAAAAATAAAAAAGATTTTCCGATAACTTATCGCAATGGATAAAAGACATTGTTGAATACAGAGTCACATTCTCACTGAAGAGTTTAAAAGTTTCTAAAAATCCAAAACAGTTCTAAATCAATTTATAACTAATTCTTTATAACTGTTTAATTTATAAACACATTTATAAACTGTTTTCCGCTTATCTAATCGTCAAAAATAAAATCATTTATAAATCGCCGTATTATCACCACTCTTTAGTGGATATTATGGACTTTAATAATTATTTTAATATGAAATTTTTTTTTGATCCATCTCATTCATTCTCTAGGGCTGAATAAGGGTTCATTTAAATCATAGCCAGATAGCCAGTCATTTAGACACAAAAAATGATATTTTTTCAATGAAGGTAAATCAAATATATATTTAACCATTAACTAACCAAAATCTCAAATTTTTATCTTTTTACTTACTTTTTTACACTGATACCATTTTACTAAACTACAAAATATAATTATTTTCTTCTTATATCTCTCTTCTAGAAGGCATATATGTCAACCTTTATTTTACTGGACCAATATACGTTTTTCTGTACAGTATATCAACACAAACTATTTATACATATATACATATAGACATGTGCAAACGTGAAAACAAAATAGAAAAATACAAAGTTCTTGTACTTTCCGAACTTCACACACTTTTAATAAAAAGTGAATATATCTCTATCTCAAACTTCACACATAATTACATAAATTTGAAATGTACGTATTCTCAAACTTTGCATACATTTTAATTAATTAGCAAGTAGAATATGGACTGTATATAAAATAATATTAATGATAATTGATACGACAAATGAGGAGTAATTAAGAAATTTTGGAAAACTGTTGAAGAAATCAGAAATATTTTAATCGTCTGAAAAGTAAATCTGGTTAATAGCTAATACCAAAAATGAGTAATCAAATAATTCTTAAAAAGATCTCTATACATGATATCGTTGGGTCAACAAGAAGTGTACGGCTGCGATATGAATTCATTCAAACAAATTTGTGATTTAAAAAAGCTAACATCACCATGAACCAACCACATAAAAAAATTCAAGAAAATGACACGTTTCTACTTCACGTTTCTACTTCACGTGTTCAAAATGATCACGTGTAAAGTGAAATTTTTTGGAAATTTATTTTTGTAGGGTAATAATATATATGGATACTATATGCCCCACTTAACAATCTTAGGCTAGATTAGGTGAAGTCAGGGAAATTCAAATAAATTTCCTAACCTTACCTCATCTAAGATGACCTACTAAATATATGTGAGAGAGAACTACTATTAACATAAGGGAGGTAAGGAGAGAGGGGCAAGCGACAGCGTCAGAGTAGATCGCTACCATTATGAGGTATAGTGTATGTATGACTGATATATCCTGACTCCACTTACCTAACCTAACTTAACAATGTTAGATAACGTGTGGAAATTCATTTAAATTTCTCGACATTACTTCACTTTACCTAACCTAAGATGATCTACTATATGACTGTATGTTATACCGTACTCTACCTTATGTCTCTAACCTTATCTTACCTAATTGATGATTTTGAAAAAGTAAGTTTTTTGGGAAGAATTTTTAGATATCAGATGTAATTTTTTTAATCACCAGGAACTAGGAACGTGCCATGAACTTCAAAATCCAGAACAACAATATATTCGTGTTATGAAACGTAGAGCAGAACAAGAAACAACTCCAGTTCCAAAAATTTATGAACAAGAAAGTATTGATTTTGTAAGCCTTCTGTTTTGAGATTGTTGTTAAATTCTTGAATCTTGACGATATATTGTGTTCTAAGTCATACAAACGGGACGTATATTACCAGTATTTGATTCAGTAAGATCGTCATTATATCAAAGTCGTAACAGTAGTCTTCCGATTGATTCCAAGTAATTTGATAGACTTCGATATACCAGAGAAATGAAAGAAGGATAATCTTGGCGGAAATTATTGTCTTTCTTTCTTTCTCCACAGTCTATATTTTACTTGCTAATTAAAAAGTGTAAATTTGAGATTACGTACATTTCAAATTTATATAATTATGTGCAAAGTTGAAGATAGAGATATATTTATTAACGGTAATAGTATGCGGAGTTTGGGCATGAACCAAAGTTCCATATATATATATATATATCTTTTTTTGAAAAAAGAAAATATCGACAGATATTATATACATATCCTTTTCCTTCTCATAAATAAAACAAAATAAAACAAAAGGAAGAGAATAGAACCGCAGACATCTATTGTATTGTTGGATACACATAATTAAATAATTGACACGTCTACCATCGTATCATCGTTTATACAGTTATTTATAAATTTTCAAGGGTTATTTAGACTGTACAAACCATACATTTTTTATGCCTCGAGACACATTGTATTAATCGCTAGTTAGAATACCGAGAATATCAGAGCAAATTTTATGAGACAGTAATGCAATGGCAGTAATCTATATTTAGGAAAAAATACACACTGGACTAAACTAATAGAAGAATGATATGAAGTAATTGGGAAGCAAACCTCTGGAGTCTATTTCTCAAAAAAAACTTAAGTTAAACAGAAGTCATGCAGTAAAAACTATTTATATTTTAACAAATTTAGATTATTTTGATAAAATATTTTGATAAAATATTTTGAATAAAATCGTTCTACAACTATTCTCTATCTAATCATTGTGGATCTGACAACGAAAAAACGTAAAATAAAGAAGTTACAAATTAAAAATAATTTTTCACTTAAAAAATTAAGTGAAAACTTAAGAGTGGTAAAGAGATCCCTTAAGTTAAGAAGACTTTCGAGAAACTCACTTAGCATAAAAATCTTACTTAAGTCAAATTTTTCACTTAAACAAAACTTAAGTTTTTTTAAGAAACAAACTCCTGGTGTTAACTCTAGTTGAAATTCGCTATATTTTAAGTTTAAACATACGATAATAAGAGACAAGAAGTGTAGATCTAACTTATAACTGCTTGAAATTGTTTTATTTATAATTATTTAGAAAGAATAGTATTTAAACCTACCATCGTTCAAGATCAGCACGTTGTGGATATTTTTTAAGCATAAATAATAAAATTTTATATAAAAATTCTTGAATACGTTTGCATGCATCATCACTTAATTCCATCAATGGATATTCACGATAAAATAACTAAAAATATATAAAAAAAAAATTCACATAAAAAATGAAATATGTTGTCAAACAATAACTTTTTTTTCAACTTGAAACACTTAATCTAATTAAGATATAGATGGCATACCGTTAAAATTCCTGGACGAAGTAATTTCTCCCATTGATTAGTCCCACCTCCAGTCGTCTCCACCACATCCGAATCCATTTAAATAAAATTTTCTGTTTGTTCAATCATTATAATCTACAAACGTTTAAAATAAATTGTTACTTTCTTTTTTTCAAAATCTCTTCTGAAGTTAAAAAAACAAAATAAAACAGAAACAAAAATATAAAGACAAATGTATTGAATTTATTCTGATATTTATTATCACGTATATTCTTAAAAGAAAGTAATCAATAAAAAAATAGCATACAACGAACAAATAAAATCTCTATCTGAGGATAAATAAATAAATAAACAAACAAACACACGAGCAACATTTCATTGCACATTAATATAGGAAAAAAGCAATCCGTTGTCATATTTAAAGTAAGTTTTATCTCATCTGGAAGTACATTTGTTCCGATTTTTTTTTAGACAAAAAAATGTTTTCTATTATCATAACGTTTGATGTCAGACAAAACTCACGCATAATATGGCAATTGAAGCTAACCAATAAACATTACTTCTTTTTTGAAAAAAATTTCCAATAAATGACACCACCCAATATTAATAGTTCAATAATGATAATAGTAATCAACAATACTTTGTTCGTAATAACTCTAGAATAGAATAATAAAATAAATTCTGATTCATCAACATGTATAATCTCAATGATTTTACCTGCTATACATTAGTCGCAAAATTTTTCTGCTTGTACTCAAATGTTGATCTGCTTCATTTAACTAAAATATAGATATAGATGAGAAAATTCTCTCTGTTTCTTTCTCTATTTACCTTATCTTGAACTCTTAGTAAAGTTTCTCGTTGTGTTGTTAAATCATTCATTATTTCATGTCCAAGTTGTTCAGTTTCACTTGCTATGTGATGGGATGTTTTCAATGTATCGCCTGTACGCAACAGTGATCCATGACCACGTAAGAGAAGATCGCGTTGTTCATGACCTAGTCTCTACGAAAGAAAATGATATTTAGTATTTCAAGTGACAGTGGAAATATACGTACATCAACTTCTTGATCATAGCCCGAGTTCCATGCACCATAGACAGGAGTTCGACTCAAATTATCCTAAAGGAAAAATAAAGAAAAAATTATAAAAAATGATCGTATACGTATACAAATCGCTTACTAATCTTTGACGAAGAGTATCAATTCGTTGTTTGAATTCTCGTCCGTAGAGTATATCTTGACCTTCTAATTCACGCGCCTAATATTGAAAATGTAATATTCGAAAGAAAAATTAAACTTTTTTTCTCATATAATCTAGCGCTTACCAGTTGATTTGCTTGTATAAGATCTTGTTCTAAGCGATGTTTTGTCCCCAAATTTCGATCTGAAGAGATAAAAAAAGGCCATTTTTTTTTTTATTCTTTCTCTTTTTATTTAACGTACATACTTGTCTCGGCTATTTCAATATCTCGAGTAATTGTATCGACGAGTGTCGATAAACGTTGTCTTAAACTTGTTACATCGGACGCCATAATGCGATGGTACTTTTTTCAATCAAAAATATTTAACAAACAAAGAAACAGATAAAAGAAATATGCAAAAGTTCATTTCAAATTAACTTTGAACAATAATAATTGCTTATGCGAGGTCTGCAGAATATCAATAGAAAGGCAAAGTTAGTCTTCAGAGATTATAATTATCCTGCTTAATGTTTTCCTTGAAGATTAAGTGAAATTAGTACACGACTCTCTAAATACGGTCATTCATAGAGGAAAAAAGTCATACTCTACATAAACCGTGCTTTACAGCGTGTCTGTTGTGACGTATGGTAGCTTTTCGTTATCGTACAAAATATTAACCTCCACTCTAAATTATTTTTTTATTAGTCAACCACTAAGAGATAAAACAAACTACAACACAACCTTTATATTGCCAAAAAAATCTAATAGAAACAACGGCTTTTCGGTACGAGTCATAACAAAGCCGTATATAAGACAAAGACGTCAATAGTTCTGATATTATTTTTTCTTCATTTTGTCAAAAGAGTTCCCGTTTTTTAGTCTGATCATTTTTGTTATTGGTTTTGTTTTTCTTTCAAACTTTATCGCGTTACATGAACAATAAAACAAATAGAACCAACATTTTGAAAACAAACATAAAAGTAAATAAAAAGGCACAAATACATAATCAGGAAGCCTTTTCCATAAAAAACAAACGTAACAGAAAAAAACAAATGAGAACACACATTTCTCCTCCCAACATTATCTTCTACAACCATCAAACTTTTCCACACACGACGAAAGGCACCCCATTTTCTTCTGCCCAAACATCAATAACAATTTTAAATGAAGAAATAAAAACGATAACTGAGGTGCTTTCGAAAGATAAAAGAAGGAATGTATACAAAGTTAAATGAAAAAAAGTCATCTCCCTTAACCGTTATTCCCGTGGTTTCTTTTGTGTGTTGAATAAATAAGGATAACGAAATAAAAATAAAAATAAATAATAGTTTTTTCGTTGTCTTTTATCAGTATATCATTTAGATAGTTGAGGGTGTTTATTAATTCTTCTTTTCTTTATTCTAGGCCATTCGAATACTTTGAATTATTTGAAATACAGCTGAGCCAACAACAACAAAAACAAATAATGCTAATAACCATGGACCAACAGGATATTTGCCATCCGCAGTTTTATTTGTTTTGGGAACATTCCCTAAACACACACACACACATATAGAAACGTATATGACAGATAAACATTGAGAATTTGAATAGTAGTAGATAATCATAGATCTACTTTTCTGATCTCAAAGTCTCCCACTCTTCAGCAAGAAAAGTGAAAAACTAAAGCACGGTCATTGAACTGTTTATTACTATTCAACACTACTGCCTACTTACAATCTAGAATGAATTACTATGTGCTTACAATGACACGATAGTGTGCATTTCGATACTTACCACGTAATGTTACTTTTTTATTATGTAATTCAACGGCTCGTTTACGTTTTGATTGATTTGCTGGCATTCTTCAGAGATATAAGGGATCTAAATACAAAGAATAACAATGATTTTTTCTTTATAAACATGAAAGAAATTAATATATCAGTTAATTACGGGATAAAGAGAAAGTATCTCAGTATGAATGAATGCTCTATCTGTGACTATGAAGAATGAAAAAGAATAGTATTTTTCAATCTCAATAGTAACTGATACAGAAAATTTCCACGAGTTCGACTGTTCCAATCCCCGACACAATCGCTAAGCTTTTCTAATAACCTATCAATGATGATAAAAGTTTACTGCTTTTCTATCATATAAGACAGAGTGCATTAAATTTTTACGTTATATTTATTGTCCAGTAACTTCCTTTAAAGTCACCAAGAATAGCTTACCAGAGTATAAGACGGAAAATTCAACGAATTTGTAACGAAAGAACACAAATATTTGGGATAGATCAAATGTCCAGAAATCTATGAAAAAAGGAAAATAACGTTGAAACGGTCTATTTAACAGATAAAAATTGAAAAGTCAGCTCGTTACAGTTTATGCTGCACGTGCATATTTTTAGCCACGTAAATCCATGACCGTTGATCAATTTTCTGACTCGTTTATTCAAACTTTTCTTATCCACGATAGAGAAACTGCGCATTTGAAAGGAGAACAGAAGATGATAATGGTGCCTCAGCGACCAATAATTTATCTACACAAGTCGTCGCTTTGTTACTACTATACTACAATATCAGTCACAATACAAGGTTTATGTTTATCTATTCTTCATAGTTTTACAATACAAAAACATGAATCTTTGTTTGTCTTCATTTTTTAAAAGATTATTATTGGAAGAAGGGCAATTTTTCTTGTTTAAGTGGCGCCTTTGGTAGTTGGCACAGCTTCATGAAAAATTACATGAAATATTTAACACCAAGATGATTGCCTTCTTGAACATATAATCTAGAAAAGGATTTCATCATCAGATGGAGTTTCATTAGGTTATGATTAGAATTTAGTTATTTGAAGTTCATTTCTTTGAAAAGTTTTCTATATGTTAACTGAGGTAGATGTTTCCTGGAATCTGAAAATGTGCGATCTATTTGCGTACGAACGGTACTTCGAAGCCTTTTTTTTATTTTTTTACATGGAAAGAGCAAGTTCGTAGTTTCCCTCATGAATGTACTCATAAGTAAGTTCTCGACAATTCAAAAGTTTCAGCAGAGAACTCAGATGGGTACTAACAATAAGTTTCAAGTTTAAGAAGGTATTGAGTGCTCATATGAGCAGTAAATTCATAAAATACTAAACATTGCTGCTAACTGGTCATTTCAAGTCCTCATAAGTAATGAAGAACTCAAATAGTTTTGCATCAGTACTACTAATATAACCATTCCAGAGGTACTTGTGAGTACTAAGTGACGGGTAAACTCGTGGGATTACTCATGCAGAGTACATTCAGTAGGGTCTACTAATGTTCTAATAGTGGATTAATATTCTAGATAGCAATTAATGGTTGAAAGAGTTACTATGAAAGGAAAAACAACAATAGCTAATGCTATCGGAATGCTGCAGATATGGAGCGCTCTTGGTTACTATTCTACTTTTGAATTCTTAACTTAATTTGAGATCACAAACACCATTGATGGCAACAACAGCGTCTGAATGAGATTTGATATAGATAAAATGAAACTGATACATTATATTAACAAGTAGGAGAAGAATTTCTAGAAAAGATCATACCATCCATTTAGTCCATCATTACCAAGATATTTGATATGACTCTTATTTATGCTAGATGTGGTTTTACGGTAATATCGTCTTGACGCTTGTTATATGTGGAGGTGTTGGCTGCTCGCTCGCAACGTCAACGTTAAACGTCGCCACCGACCAAACGGTTGGCTAACAGCTCGAGTTATATGCAAAGAACACTTTAATGATTTTTACTTCAGTTTTATTATATTTTGTTATTTTATTCTTAATTCTTGGCTTAATCAACATTATCGAGTGAGTAAACTTGTGCTTTTCTGCTGTAACAAGTCTTTAATTTCATTTTTTTAGAATCAATACCTTGGATAATGTTTTCAAAGTGAAATTAAATGTTCCAACTTTTTGGCGGAATTCAGTATCTATGTAGGGCGCAGTAAATGAAATTGAACAATATTTCTCTACTCTCTTTATTATTTGTCCAGCAAACAGTACTTATAGTTTCTAAAGGTATTCTCTACTTCCCCTTTTTTTGTCAATGAAGTTTTTTGTTGTCTTTCTTTAGAAAGTCTAATTTTTATACTTTAAATTTATTTTGCGCAAAGATATTCGCTATTTTAGTTAATGACACATTCATTAGTTTTATTTTTACTTCGACTCTGCTTTTTTCTTTTGATATGCGACATGTTATATCGCTTTCAATATTAGATTAATTATATCAATTATGTCATTTGAAGACAAAACTCCAATAATAATAGAAGATATTAATGGAAATATTGTTGTAAGTATTTCATTCTCAAACTTAGTCATAGGTCATGCTTTGTTTCCTTTTCTTTAGACTGGAGGTCTTACGGTTTTTACAGCTAGCATATTCATTGTCGGAGAGAATGAATTCTTCAACTATTGCGTGATTATTTCTTTGCTTTGACGCATGTCTTATATTTGTTATCATTCTCATTCTTTAATTAAATGTTTACATTTCAACAAGACAATATACACAGTATTCAAACAGAATCCTGGCTGGAACAGGCTTGTTAGCTTTAGCAAGTGCAATGAATGAAGCGGGTATGAAGAAACGAGAACAAACAGCTAAACACACGACTTTACTTATACATTTTCAGGCTGGTGGGGTTTATTCTCAACATTTCTCTTATGTCTTTTATCTGGTTTTTGTGGTATAAAATTGGGCGAGTGTTGGACAATGCTTCGTCAAAATAGTAGAAGTAAATGTGAAGGGGCACGATCTCCATTTCAAATTATCGCGCAAGAGGGTGCTGGAAAAATTGGCAAGTAGGTTAACGATATAGTTTAACTGTTAGTTTTTGTACATACAAGGGACTGTTGTTTCTTTGTTTGTCTGTTTAGATATCTTTTAATTGTAATTATTTATTTTCAATTATTGGGTGCTGGTGTCGTGTTTTTATTACTAACTGCACAAAATATGCAAAGTTTACTTCATGCCCTTCATGTTCATGTATCATTTTGTTTATGGATTTTGATTGTTACTGCTATTCTTATACCATTCTGTTGGTTTGGAACACCCAAAGATAGCTGGTATGTATGTTCGTCTAATGTATTTTTTCATTAAAATTTTTCTTTGTTTTATAGGATTTTAGCGGTTATTGCAATGGTTTGTACGGCTATTGCCGCTTTATTTATATCAATCAGTGCCCTGAGAGATCATAAACACCATGAGCCGCCAAGTCCGGTTACATTTAAAACATTTTCATTTTCGATGGGTATTATGTTTTTTAGTTGGGGTGGTAGTGCCATGTTTCCCACCATTCAAGTTGATATGAAACATCCGGACAAATTCCATTATGCTGTTATAGTTGCTTACATTGTTTTACTCATATTTTACTTACCTATCCAAATTATTGGATACACTGTCTATGGTTCACATATAAAAGATAATATTTTAGAAATATTACCTAAAGACTTTTTCCGTTATTCGGTAGAAATTTTAATAACGGGACATTTATTGATGGCCTTTACGATTGTATTGAATCCCGTATTTCAAGGCTTGGAAGATGTATTTAAAACACCAAAACGTTTCTGTTGGCAACGAGTAGCGGTGCGAAGTATACTGGTATTATTTTTAACATTTTTAGCTGAAACAATTCCACATTTTGGACCTATATTGTCGTTTATTGGTAGTTCAACTGTGTCATTGTTAGGCTTCGTATTGCCAGTGATATGTTACGTTAGTATTAAAATTCGTTCAACACAATTGGTCTATGAACACCGACTGAATACATTGCGGAGGTTAGTATCGCCTGTGAGACAAAATAAAAGTTATGAAGTTGAATATAATTTCCATAGCATCAGTCCTCTTTTTTTCTAGAGTGTTTCCTATTTATGAACTTATTCTATTGGTACTATCCCTTATGATTGGTTTATTTGGTGCTTTCGCTTCATCAATTGCGTCATTTTCTGACCTAGTTAATCCAAAATCGTATGTATTGCCTTGTTTTATTAATGCAACATGGGCCGAAGGAACACCGCATAATGACACAAATTATTAAAATCTGATGATTTCCCTTGATACATTTGTGCAATAATTAATCATAACTTTCTTTTATTTTTCTACATTTGATTTTTTATTCTCACCTTCTGAGAAAGGAAGTGATATCTACAAAAGTCTTTCAATTTTTTTTCAAATCGCTCAATACTGCCTTTTTGGTGTTATGAACAAAGACAATATTATATGCTCCACACAAGAGTTTTCATTATTTTTATACTTTTTTTTATTAAATGAAGATTACTAAAACTATTTTACACTCTTTTTAATAAGCTGTAAAGGCGTAGAAAACTTTTAATTAAGCCACAACAATAATTGACCGGAAACACATTGTTTCTCTTATCATCGCTCTTTTCAGCTCGACTTCTTTCTAACAAAAAGTGTTCGTTTTATTTCGCCCGAAAGTTTCATTTTTCTTCTGGATATGTTCGAATATCGTTGGATATCAACAACACCAAATTAAAAACATATTTTATTTTATTTATTGCTATTATTTTATTTACTCATAATTCTATTGAATAATATGAACGTAATGTAAGTCAGTGTATTATAATTGAAAAAAAATATAAATAAATGATTCAGAATAATGAGAGTAAGGCAAGTGTAACAAAGGACATTGTAGAATGTTATATAGAATAAGATCAAAGTTTTCATTTAGATTTCAGAGCTAAAACTTTAAGTTTGTAGCGCATTAAGGAGTAAGAGATAACAAGAATATAAAGTTTAGTATGTCGAAAAAAAGCGATGCGGTTTGTTATTAGAAAAAATATCATTACTTATTTTTCTTATACACGTACAAATCTTTCAAAGATAGTTATTTTTAAGATAGATAGATAGCAGTTGATTTGTGTATAAATTTCTTTTTTTCTTCTACTTATTTTCCATCATATGCGAGCGCAAATGACGCTTTCTTATTTACTCACTGAAATTCTAGTACGTGCGTATTAGGTATGTACCGGTATCGGTATACCGAATACCGAAAATACCGATACCGAAAATACCGACTTTTTTTGACTTGGAATTTTTTGGATTTTTTCATTTGAAATGAGGTATTTTAGCATCCTGGACAAGCAGAACGTATAAACAACACTCAGCTGTGTATTTTGAGC